AGCCCAGGGAAGGCGTTCACTCTTCACGGTTCCCTCCTCTGCCCCAACTTTTCTCTCGTTCTATAACCACCATCTCCAGGTCTGAAACCAGAAGACCAAGGTTCGTCCAACCCACTCCCATCTGGAATTTAGCATTTCCTGGGCAGATGACGCACCGCAAGTCTTATGAATGGCCTCCTGCCTGGACAGGGTGTGAGGATGGCTAATGCAAAGGGTTGGCAGCAGTGCCCTTGGGGCAGACACGCAGCAGCCACTGAGTCAGTCCCTTGTAACTTCCACATTGGGACCTCGAGGGGTCCCTCAGCCCCGTGGGCGCCATCCCGGAGGCTCCCCTCCCCTTTCTTCCCTACCTCGGGAGCTCCTCAAGGTGGGGTTTATCTCTGCACCCTGCCTTGCTAGACTCTCCACCCTGCGCCCAGTACGGATCAGCCGCAGCAGGGCTCTGTGAAGGCTGGAGCTTCATGGTTTCTTGGTGGCTGAGGCAGCTCATCAGCTGGCCTTCCCAGGGGAGACACCCAGCCCACCTGGGAGCTGCTCCTTGCTCCCCCTTCTAGGTGTTTCCGGGGACCTTCCTACGTGGTGTGGAGAGCCCAGGCATCCCCAGCCGCTCTCCCCCTTCCATGGGAAAAGAGGAGGGAGAAGAGAAAAGCCATATTAATAAAAGAATAGGATACTGCGACTAACTCCACAGCGTGTGCCGCTCAGAATAGCAATGTGCTTTCTCAAGGCAAACAGAACTCCCCAGGTGTTAATGCAAATTCACTCCAGTTAAGATGAAAGAGGGTTGTTTCCCCCTTTGCTGGTTAATATGAAGGACTTAATAGATTCAGCCTCAGGAACTCGGGAACTTGGCCGGGAGCTGAAGGCTGGGGGGCGGGCTGGGGGAAGAATGCAGGCGAGGGCAAAGAAGGGAGGTCCCTCGTGGGTTTCAGGGCGCAGCAACTGTCATAGCAGGCCTGGTTGACGCTGTGGCTCATGCCACCCCCATCCTCTACCAGGCTGACAGAAACTGGGTCTGGCTGCTCGGGAAGTGGCAAGAAAGCCGAGTGGCCCTGCCAACCTCGCCCAAGTCTGCCACCCTTCACATTTCACTCGGGGCCGGCAGCACAATGGCCCCTCCCGACTTGTGTGGGGAGCAGGGGGCTAGGAAAGGAGGGGTGAGATGGAACCCCCTAACACAGGCCCAGGCTGGCTGTTCCTGCAGGGCACCTGGCACTAGTCCAGCTCCTGGCCGTGGCTATGGCCCGATTCCCCATTGGAAACCCTGGAAGGTGAAGCTGGCTGCCAATGCCCAGAGGGACCAGCCCATGGAACTGGAACTGAGGAGTTTCAGAGTTTTTCTGGCCCAAATCCGACCTTCTACGGTTGAGCCTGGAGAGGGAGAAGCTCAAGCCCTCGAAGCTGGCAGCAGAGAGCTGGAGGGACTAGAACACACAGCTGGCTCACATGAAGGCAGGCAGGCCACTGGAGCTGTCCTCTGCTGGGTCAGCAGTCCGGCTTGTCTGCCAGCCACCTGAAGGGTGGTCTTGGATGAGCAGCTTGGTCCCAGGCCTGGGCTGGAGAGAAGCTCCACTCGGGAGGAAGTGGCCCTGAAAAGTGTCTTCTGCTGAAAAACACGCAAGGCCCAAGCTGGGCGTTCACTGGGGAGGGTGGAGAGATACCCTTGCGGCTCAGCTATGGCAGATATGTGCCAGGGGTGCAGGAATGGCCTCGCCAGTGCTCAGCTGTGGATGAAAGGAGACTCAGGGAGATCCCAGGGAGGGTAGGCATGAGGCTGGGCTGTCCCGGTGGGTCTACTCCACTCTCCTGAGTTTAACTTCTGTGTCAGGGTAAATGGCACAGCAGGTGCCTGCCCAGGATACCTCACCACCTTCTTTGCTTTGTTTACTGACTTAATTCTTTCAGATCAAAGGCTGCCCCTTCCCCGAGCAGGCAGATGGGGGAATTACATTATTTATATTGGAAATGGGCAAGGCTCCATGGGGACTTCTTCCTTATGCCTGATAAGAGAAAATTAGGTCACTGCTGTGCCTCCCTGGTGCCTGCAGCTGGGTTTTTACAGCCCAGGTACCCACGGGCTCAGAGAAGAGCTCTTGTGCAGAGCCCAGTGTGGCCCACCCAGCTTTCTCCCACCCTGATCCTCCAGTAAATTATTGACCCAAGCAGCAGGCATTAATGTGACAAAACAAGAACATCCTTCCCAGGCAGCTCCAGCCCAGGGTTATCTATCATCTCCTGGGCTTTGAGGCTGGCACTGGGCAAACACAGCATGGACAAACAGGCCAGATGAAGGTTCATTAAGCTCAGGGTGCAGGTGTAGGGGATGGGGACCACAGGGGGGCAGCGGGTGGGCCTGGTCTCTCTGGGTTGTGACATCCCCTGGGTCACCATTGCTGTTGTCTCTGTTTCCCCCTGTCCCCACCCCGCTCCCAAAGGAAGTATTCAGAAAAAGGGCCACCCTGCCCAAAGTAGTGACACACACCTAGGCAAGGTGCTTAGTAGAGCTTTCTGGGCATTAGCCATCCCCACAAAACCCCTTATCTATTTCATTTTTATTATTTTTTTGAATTGATATCTCACTCTGTTGCCCAGGCTGGAGTGCAGTGGCACAATCACAGCTTACCGCAGTCCCAAATTCCTGGGCTCAGGCCATCCTTCTGACTCAGATTCCTGAGTAGCTGGGACTACAGGCGTGCCCCACCATGCCCAGCTAATTTTTTGACTTTTTGGTGGACATGAGGTCTCACTATGTTGTCTAGGCTGTTCTTTAACTCCTGGGCTCAAGCAATCCTCCCACCTCAGTCTCTCAAATTGCTGGGATTATAGGCATAAGCCATGGAGAAGGCACAAAACCCCTTAAAATCTCCATTTTACAGGTAAAGCAACTGTAGTGCCCAAAGGCTAGGCAATTTGCGGAGGCCAAGGTCAGTGGCTGAGCAGGAATTTGAATCCAACTTTGTCCAAGTTCTGAGGCAGGGAGCTGCCATTTCCCCAGCTCACCCTGCGGCTGGCTGTAAAGATTTCATGCCTATTTTTGTGCTAGCCACTTCTATTACTTGTAAGTAATGGCAATACTGCTACATACTCACACCCCTTTTCTTAGAAACCTGAGCACACTTTGTTCTCTTCTTCAGGTTATCCTGGCAACATTCCTAGGGTGTCCATTGGTGTCATTTTCAACCATCTTCATAGAAGTTCTAGCCCTGGGGGGGAGGGGACTAGGTCTCCTCCACCTGGGCCCAAGGCAAGTGTGGTTCAGCAGATGGCAAGGTGGCTGTCACGGCCCTGACCGTGGAGCCTTCCCGGAGATGTCTTGATTTTGGCTCAGAGGCAAAATGCCAGGTGCTATTCTGAGGCCACCACCTCAGTGAGAAATGGGTATCAAGTGGAAACTGGGAGAGGACATGGTGGCAGTTCCTCTCTGAGCTTGCTCAAGTTGTTGCTGTGCAGATAAATGGCCCTGTGATTCTCCAGAGCTGCTCCTGCCACCACACAGAAATCTCCCCACCGCAGCTGGGACTGCAGCCGCAGGATCCTACTGTAATGCAGCAATGACAGGCTGCCAGGGAGCCCCACACAGCCAGAAGGGGAGGGGGGAGCCCTTGGCTTCTCCTGGCTAGAGATAAGGCTGCCTGGACTGTCTGAGAGGGAGAAGGAGGATATGTCGATGGCTCGACTTTCTCTTCCCCAGAAGACCACAAAATTGGATTAGACACGGTTGCAGCGATCTTCTCACCAATACCTTTCCCCCCAGAGTTTTGCTGCCAACTCTTCATTACACGTGGGTGGCTCCTTATCCGCTCCTCCACACGAAGGCTTTGAGGTAGGCAGCCCTGGGGAACAGCTGCCAGACACTCCCCACACAGGCATCTGATGGGACCAGGCTGCAAATGCCACCGGTAAGCACTGAGGTCCGCTTAGCAGCTTTGTGTTTACAGCAGGGTCATCATAAGCCAAAATAAAACAGCAAAGAACAAATGACCTCCTCGATACAAAACACCAAGCAGTATTTATTCTAACCCTCGTTAATGGGGACCTCAGATCTCAGCATGGGCATATTTACTATCTTTTAGGGGTCATGATTGTCTTTTATAAAAAGGTTACGTAAAAATAGTGCTTGGATGACTTAAAATGAGTATTTTCGAAGTGCTTTCTCTGGTTTATACTACACAGGAAGTGAAACTGCTTCAAATTACTAGAATTAACAGTCTACATTTGAGAAATTTAAGGTTTATATTATTCATCTAATAAAAAGTCTAATTATTTACTAATTCTATATATTCAAAGCTAACAAAAAATGGTTAACACTTCCATAATTCTCTAATTTTACCAACTTCAAACATCTTTCCAAAATATATAAAAAGTTAGTTATGTTTCATGCCAATATTTTGGGAAATGTTTGTGTATTCTGATAGGCTGTTTTCTTCATTGCCTTTATAGTGGAGACCTGAAGGGTGTTCTGGCAAGTATGGCAGGTGGGTCCCCTAAAAATTTTGACAATGCATTATGCCATCTGAATCTCTGATTTTAGGCTGCAGTTAATCGTACAGCAGTTTTGGTCTTGATAAAGAACTTTTGTTGATTAAGAAAGTAGAAATAGAACAAAAACACATAAGCTCTACAGTGGTAGTTTCCGACATCAAGTTCAAATGTTGTGTAGTCCTGACAGTGGCTATACTTCACTTGCTCTGCAGACAGCGCCTGAGCCCCAGGGGTCCTGGACACCCCGTACTCCCCAGAGCCCAGGATGGAAAAGCCCAGAGTGTCCCACAAGAAGAGGGAGTTTCCAGGTGAAGGCATCGTTAGGGATGCTGTCATTAGCACAGAAGGAGGTGAGCCTTTTACCACCTTAGACAAGAGGCTGGAGGTGAAGTCCTGGGTAGTCAGGGAGGGCAGAGGGCCCATCTCCTCACAAACCACAAGAGGTGGCCCCACCACCCAGCTGCAGTCTTGCCACCACAATGGCCTGAGCAATAAGCAAACCAAGGAAGCCCAAGACAGACTTTTTCCAACTTAGAATTTTTATTAAAACAATCACTTAAATTACAACGGTCTCCCAGAATAGAAAATAGCCTTCCATAGTCTGGCCCTGACAGAAGGTGGGACTCAGGCCCCACAGGAAGAAGTGAAGTTTGACATCTCTGAAAATGGTTGGAGCTTCCCTGAATGCCCAGGAGAGAAAGGTTTGGCCCCAGGGCAACTGGGAAAGGCTGTCTCCCGCCAAGGCCGCTCTCTCCTGGGGCTCTGAGGCCCAGGCCTGTCAGTGAGGAACACTTAGTCACCATCACTGGTTGTCAGCTTCTAGACTTTTGAAAACGAAAAGAGAGGAAGAAAGAGAAACCTGTCCCCAAGATTACAAGACACTGTCACTCAAGAAGTGTTATGTAATGCCACAGGGTGTTGTCTAGCAGGGTCTGGCGGGTACATGAATAACTAAGTGGACACCATAGGTCAGAGCACTGCTGTGGCTGAGGGGGGGCCTCAAGTGGGATGAACAAGGTGGTGTGTGCTGCGTGGCACAGCCTCACGGAGTGTCATGAGCTGGACGGAGGCTTCGCAGTTTGTGTCGTGGTGCTTCTGCCCAAGAACCATCAGAAGCCCTCATGATGAAATAATTGTGGCCAGGACCCTGCTCTATGGACTTCAGAGACTTCCTTACTTGACCAGCTCCTGGGCCCTAAAAATGTTCACTTAAAAAGGACAGCCACCTCAGCCACAGACACAAGTCTCTGAAAACCAAGCACCTCTTTGATTCTTTCTCCTGCTACTGGGGCTCGAGGCCTTTCTAAGGCCAACAACCTCTCCACCTTATCAATCCAAGGGGCGATGCTGCTACTTCCTGCCCCCAGGAGAGCAGAGGTGCTCTTGGCTGAGCAAGGTTTCGCTGAGCCTGCTACCTGGGGCTCCAGGTGCTCCTGCCATAGCTCAGATTCCAGCCAGCTCCCTTGAGGCAGCATGGCTTGTCATTTCCTAGTCTAGAAGTACACACAGCAGTTAAAGAAAACAAAGCCCAGCATCATTTTTATAAACCACCATCATGCTCCTGTGCCCTGCAGCCACAGTTTAAAGAACAGATTTACAGATCGGGAAGAAAGTGGTAGAAATTCAGGGATGGGCTTTAAAACTGAGACAGAGCCACAAAACACAGAAGCCAGACTTTTACAAATGCTGGAGGCTTTGTAAAGAGAGGAAGACACAGGGCAACTCTTCCAGCCACAGCCATCCACACTTAAGCTCCAGATGTGGAGTCCCACCCTGCATGCCGTAAGGGGCTAAAGTGACACACAGGGCTAGCTTCCTCAGGGCAAGGTGGCCTAAGGAGGTGGCAGCCAGCCTGCAACACTTTAGGTCAGCATGATAGTGGGGAAAAAGGCAGGATCTCTATGAGCTTCTTAGTTTCTCAAACCAGACAGAATTGCAAGAGACCACCTCTGCTCTCAGGAGCTGTAAGGCCCTTATACATCTTCAGTTGATAAGTGTGTTTTCACTGATTAAGATGTATCACCTGCTCTGTGTAATGGCCCAACTGGAAGGATCTAAAGGGTCTTGGCTGGTCACAGCAGCACCTCCAGCCATGGAGTAAAGAAAGGACAAAAAGTGGCCCCAGACCAAGGAGGGAGTGAGAACTGGTTTTGTGACCCGCTACTGCCCAGCATGGAGGTGAGTCATGTACCAGCCTGTGTGGGCACCATTTGTGACTGGACACCTGCATCAGGCTAGTGCTGGGAGGGGCACAAAGGGACCTTCTGGGCCCATGGGGGAGTATAAAATAAAGGGTCCTCAGGGAGACAAGGGCAAAATGAGGCCCAGGCACAAATGTGGGTTGGGAAGGGCTTGCTGCATGTGGCCAGGGTAGGTGATGTAGATTGGCAACACAGACCAGAGCCAGAAGAGCTTGGTATTTGGGCCTAAGAAGTACCAGTGAAGCTTCAGGGCCTAAGGAACCCCCGGTCACAGCCAGGTTGCCAGGTACTGACTAGAGCATGGCCAGGAAGGGCCCCAGCTCTACACAGGCAGGAGAGCCCAAGGCTGCGGAGGATGGGAAAGACACGTGGCCCCCATCTGCCTCTTAGATCCTGGTCTTTAGAGGCAGGCGGCGAGAGGTGGGCGGCGAGTGCTTTGTACCATCAGCTCCCTACGTGGCTCTACTTGCCTCCCAACCCCTTGGCTGGCAGCCGGCCCTTCGTCACAGCTTCTGCCTCAAGTCTCTCCCCAATCACAGCTGTCCTGCCTGTTCCCCACCAGCTGCTAGCCAGAGTGCTGCCTTGGAGGTGCCTGGTAGAGAACCAGCACTTTGCTCATCACGAGCTGCAGGCAAGCTCACTGCAAAGCTGCAGTAGGCAGGCTGAGCTGGGCCTGGGCTCAGCCGAGCTGTGCTTCCTCACCATGTGCCAGGTCTTCACCCATGGAAAGGATGAAAGTTCTGGGGCCCTGGGCAGGGTTGGGGGTGGTGACACCAGCCTCCTGGCCTCCAGGGGTCTCTGCACTTCACTCCCTACAACCACTTCCAAGCCTGGGCCGTGGAAGCCAGCCCTGGACAGTAAGATACACAGACCAAGGTGCCTGGGATGAAGAAAATGAGGGATCCCACATCAGACAAAGGAAGACAAATACTTCTTAAAACAATTAAAGACTCAGGTCAGGAGAACTAGAACGCCATGAGAGAAATCTCTACAGGGTCATAGTTCAAGGCAATTGCACATAAAGGGGGTTGGGCTCTCCACTCAGCTGGGGAAAGTTCCGGAGCTCCCACAGAAGCCCCCAGCCAGCCCCCAAAGGATGTTTCTCACGGTGTCTGGCCCATTCTGCTGGTTTTGGGAGCAGAAGTGGCAGGTCTTGGGGTGGCTGGGTCACCTGCTAGAGCTCCTCAAAGAAGGCCACTCGGGACTTGGCGCTCTGCAAGGTGAGCTGTAAAAAAGCAGAGAAGAAGTTGAAAGGGGGATGAGATCTCTGCTCTCTCACATGGAGTCCCATCCTGCTGCCTGGACTAATCTCAAAGGTGGTTGAGAGTGAAAGGAACAGTGTTCAAATAGATGTTCGAGAAGTTGCAGTCAATCCCAAATAAGTGTCCAGATTTGCCCAAAAATTCAAATTAGGAGGTGACAAGTGAGGATGTGCCAGGGGAAGGCAGGTGGGTAGAAGCACGTTAGCAGGAAAATGTCATCAACATCAGCTTTTCAAAGGGGACTGGAGATTCCTGGTATTTTAATAGATTCTCACATTCCTGTCTACAAAGTCTCTGAGCCGCCTCTGTGGTGTGCTGTTTGCGGTGGCACCAGCCTAAGATGTTCATCCTCTCCGGGCTCAGAGGAGCTGGCTTGGCAGGGCAAGCATTTCAGTCCTTGTAACTCCTGGGGATGCCACTAGGGCAAGACAGGCCTGTGTCAGATGTGGAAGAACATGACCCTTCCACTCCTGGCTCTCCAGGTGTCCCCAAAGCAGACTTGCCCATGACCCTGCAGCTGAGGGGATTCTCTCCACGACCTGGAAGGCAATGTGCTTTCTTGGTGAGGCTAGTGCAGACAGGGAGGATTAGTGGCTGGGGCAGTACTCTGTCCAGCAACTATAAGGCCTTTCCGGGAAGGACAGGGCAGGAAAAGGCTGGAGCTCTCTAAGTGACAGAGTTTGCAACCTCCTAAGTCCCTTCCTCTGAGCCACTTCCAGCATCTCTCTGAACAGAAGTATTTGAAAACAGGTACCCTCTCCATTGCCCTGCTCCCTGCTCAGCTCCTGAAGCCAATCCCTTGGGCCTGTTCTGTGTGTACCATATCCAAGTCAAGAGCTCCACTGTGAGGCTGAGGAGGCCCAGGGACTAAATCCTCCGTCACCAGCTTGCTGTGTAGATTTAGCAGACATTCTTGACCTCTCTGAGCCTCTCTCCTCTGGAGGTCCACAGGGCAAGCAAGACAGTCTGGCCCATTCTCTTGAACCCTGGCAGTCTCTGGATGTGAAAAGTCCTCAGAACTATGGTGACTCCACAAAGGAGAGAGGAGGGAGACTCCAAACCCACCACTTTCCCATCAAAAGACAGGCAGCATTAGTGTGCTCAAAATGAGACAGCTTGAGAGCGACTCTTTAAATCCTGCCAAATCTTTTGGCCTTGAAGTCCCCGACTAACAAGCTGAATGCAGGGAGGCATCTGAGCTGTTTTCTTCAGTGGAACTAATTTCAGAGTCCTTTGGAAAGCCCAGTTCTGATGGAAATGGAGAGAGCTCTTCTTTGCTGAAACACAACTCCCTCTAGAAGGGAGCTGCGTTTAGGATGGGTTTTTCCCTAAATGCAATCAGTGGAGAAGGGCCAGAAGTTATGTGCCTGTGATAATGGGAACCAGGATGGTAGCAAGTAAGAGAGATTTGCCTGCCAGAGAACTACTGGGACAACAATTCTCTAGGAGAGGGTTTAAATTAAAAGGCATAAACCCAAGGTCTCTGCTCAGGTTCCTCACACACTTCTGAGAAGACCTCAAGTGGCCTCTCAGGGGACAGGGAACTGCCCACAGCCACTTTGAGTCAAACACAGGCAACGGTCAGCTGCCTGACCAGAGGTCCTCCTGGGCCACTGACTAGCCGTGTGACTGTGGGCAGGTCACTTAACGTCCTCTGGCCTCAGTTCCCTACCATGAAGCACGGGTGATGGCAGCCCCTTCCTCACAGGGTGATGTGTGGAGGAACTGGGAAAAACGTGCAAAGCACCCAGCACTGCGCCTGGCGCGTGGTGGGAACTCAGCAGCTGTTATTACTAATAGCAGCATCACGTTTCTTCCCTCCCCCCAGCTCTGGCTCCTCTTCTTCTGGGGGAGCAGAACACTCATTAGGAAGAGATGCTGGTGATGGCAAGGTCACATGTGGCACTGGCCTCCACAGCCTCTGAGGCAGGGCACACAATGCTCCCGCGAGGCCCGGCCACTTCCACAGGCAGGGAGCCCAGGCTGTGGGGGCCTCTGAGAGCCTCCTGCCCATTTGTACAATGTTGGCTCCAAGAATTCCTGGATCCTCTACCTAAGGAGTGTGCTGGCTGTCCCCTCGAGGTGCCAGGGGAAGGTTTTGGCAGCGCCAGATTCCAGTTACGCGAGCATGTGCTTGTTAGGATGCAGATTGCTCCTTGGGTGGGCAGATGCTTCCCAATCCCCACCCCAGCTGCACTGCAGAGGCTCAGCCCGACCTCTTATCTCTCAAGAGCAGGAGTTTCCCCTCAGCCCCAAGGACAGGTATAGAGGAAAATCAGACAGTCTGACCATGCAGAAGCAGGAAAGCACCACAGACACACGGCTGGGGCAAGAAGAGAGTGCCACAGTCTTCCAGAAGACACTGAGGCGGTTAGAGGGAAAGGTGGACCCACCAGATGGCCAAAACCTGGCGGCACTGGTCAGTGAGGGCTCTTGTCACCACAGTTGTGCCCCAGCCCTGCAGGCAGACATGGCTGCCGCCGCCTCCCCCTTCACCCTCACTGTCTGATTCCTATCGGTTCCAATCCCATGGTAAGTTCCTGGAGTCAGAAATTGCTGGAGCCGTCCACCACCACCTTGGCATCTGCCTACTTTGACCTGGGCAACATCCTTTAGCTTAGACACATTCTAGAATGCCCTCTTCTGCAGGAGGGCACCAGCTCATGCTGGAGCTGGCGGGCGGGCAGTGAGACGAGGTTCTGCAAGGAAAGGCCTTGGACTTCTTTCCTTCAGGTAGGAACTCAGGGGAGCTAGCCCTCAAATGGGAGATTTTCTACAGAGAGCTCAGGAAGCCTCCCTGTGGGATACTACAAACAGTTCTGCCACTTGTGCTCCCTGCTTAGGCACTGCCTTACACCTCCATTGGGCAGGTGCCTCTCACCTGTGGATCCTTCACTATCTGCTGCTTCTAGAAAGCTTGTAGGTCCCGTTCTAGAAAGCTCACTGATTGTCCCATTTACAGTGCAGCTAAAGGCAAGAGGTATTCATAAAATGAAGGTGAAGGCTCAGAGGAAATGGCACCAAGTTAGCCCTTCATAAAATCAACTCTGCCTCTGGGTCTTCTTTTTAAACTCATGAAAATCAGCGAACTCATTTCCTGGTTTCACTACGAATCTCTTATACTGTAAAGTGTATGAGCCCATGTCAGCGTTGGTCTCTCTCCCTGCTCAGCAAGTGGCCTGACATTCTCTGCACAGCCCAGCACATCTCTGCTTGCTAGAGCCAGGTACTGTGGAGATGATCCCACAGAGGCCCTCACCTTGTCCTGTGACTTGAGAACTGAAGCCACCCCTACTCTCACCCTGATTCCAAACAAATGCCTGTGCACCCTCTGGCAATCCTGTAACAGCCCTCTCTCGCCTTCCCGAGCCCCGCCTTGTCTGCCTATGGAGTGGAGTGTCCAGGAGGGAGAAGATTCCTCAAATGCACAAGGAACAAGAGCATGGATTGGGCTCTACGAGCACACTGCCAGGGGTATCTTGAAGACTATCCAGGAAAATGGAGATCTCCAAATTTCAGCAGATGGTGAGACAGAAAAGCCTCAGGATATGGATCTACAAGCAGGGCCCCAAGGATAATGGGTGCTTCACCCTGGGACCTGCCACGTCTGGTCTGTGTCTCTTTGAATCCTTCTAAGGACAAGTGGGAGAGCTCTGGTGAACATGACCAGTGGCGTCTGCCACACACTGTCCTTCAAAACTCCCACTGAATCCAGACAAGGACCAACTACAGGAGTCTCGGCAGCCAGGCCCAACCCAGCTCCTAGGGACAGGCTGTAAACCACAGAGCCCTGCTCAAACCCAAAGCACTCTTGCCAGCTCCCTAAAGATGACTAAAAGAACATGAAGTCTCCTCACCAGGCACTGGGCTGACCCGCTGCTCTCTTCCAGCTGTCTCTTCACATCTGATTAGAATCAGTCATGTGAATAACACAGGAGGAATTAAGTTCTCTCTTGACTGAACCGGCTGTTCAAGTCTGTCACTAATCCAATTCCTTTCTGAGGAGAGGAACTTCCTTTTTCCCCTCTGTGGCATACCTATAAGGCTTTGTTTTTATCTTATGGGACCTCTGATCCACTTGTTGGGGCCTGGCTCTCCCTTCCTGCCCAGCATCGAGACTCAACCCTGGCAGAGTCCCTTCCTCCTGCCTACTTTCTCATCAAACTGTCAGGCTGTAAAAGGGCAGGAAAGGAGGTCACTGGCAGAGCTGAGGCTCTTTATGCTCCCCAAACTGTATGTGGCATGACAAACATGGACACATTCACCCAATCTAGTCACACGTGTCTCCTTAAAAAGACAGAAGGCTGGCTTCTCTCAACCTGAGAAAAGGGCCTGGTACCTAGCCGGTTCTAACCCAAGCCTGTAATATGCAGACAAAACTGGCTCCTGCTCACTGCTATGTGAGGATTTCAGGCAGCCCATCAAGATACTCTTGAGAAATGGCCCCGGGCTCTGAAGACAGCAAGCCCCGAAGGCACCTGTGACAAGCTCCCCTACCGGCAGTGGAAGGCTTCCAGCTACAAAGCCTCCTCCAACGTGGCTCCCAAGAGTGCCCCCTGCTGGAAAACCACAGCACGAGGCATACTGCCAACTCCTTCTAGTTCTCCTCTAAAAGTCCTTTTGGGGGATCGTTTCCCAAAGTGATAGGAGGGAAACTAAATGTATTCCGGCACGAAGCCTGCAGCGGCAAGGCTGCTTGATTAAGAATGAATTACACTTTCATCAGCACAGAGAGAAAATTGATTCACAAGGCCGCATTATGATCATCTTGTTCCTAAAGCAAAGGGGGGGCAAGACACAGAGCCACTTCGGCTATCAGTAGTGAGAGAAAGAAAGCTCTCCAATTAAGCTGGGAGAACAAAACTAATAAGAGCACCAGGATTCCTTCAACTAGTCTCTGGGGGCCTTGCCTCAATTCACTCATCCCAAGGGAAGAGAAAGGAAGGTGGGAGGGGGACAGCTA